TAGAGAGAGATCCTGGCTACAGGTACCAACTAGGAGAGAAGCCCATTAGGATACTAGAATGAGATGTCACATCTCAGGAAGAGGAAGGTCTGTCTATGGCATCCAGAGCCCTGGGCTAGGAATGGAGAGGGTTTGAAAGGACACCTATGCTCAAAACAAGCAAGAGAAGCAAGGTCTGGATTGAGAAAGCCTGGTGCAATCAGGAACACCTGCTACCCAGGCCTTGATTCACTCTTTTCCTTGACCAAGTGGAGCTGGTGGGAGTGCATGAGGGCAAAGTGGTGAAATAGGGCTAAGGAGCACCAGTATCCAGGCAGTCACCAAGTATGAACAGCATTGAGGATGCTCCTGCTCCCGCAAGGTAGCCAGCCTGAGAAGCAGAGGACCAATGAAAAACTGTGCTTTGGGGAGGAGCTGCTTGGAGTCTGACAGCCTCTTTGCCTGCCTGGGCTCCTCCTAGTACTTGCTGAACAGCTGTGTACTCTGAGCCTCCTCAGGAGCATGCAGGTCTCATGTATTAGGGAAGTTGACAGGTGTCTGGTGATGTTGCTGGGATGGCTGCTTTCTCAGTCTCATTCAAGCTGTGAAGAGCTGGGTGCCAGAGGCCCTCATACAAAACTAGGCCTCTGAGGCTTTCCTGCTAAGCCCACTGCAGCCCCACTATGGCTGGGATTGTGTCCTTGATCAAACTCCTTTTGGAAATTTCATCCCCAGTGTGATACATTTGGAGATGCATCATAGTGAAGAGGTGTTTGAATCATGTTTTGGATCCTTCATAAATAATGTATTGTCCCCTTCATACTTTGCAGGTGTGAATGAGTTCCTGCTCCAAGTGGTACGGTCATATTTCCAGTACAGTGACTCCTGAAAAGAGTATGGCTTTCTTGGTGTATCTCTCTTGTTTCCTCTCTTATCACGTGATCTGTGCACATGGCTGCTTCTCATTCTCTTTCTATCATGGGTGAAAGCAGCATGAGGACTACACCAGATTCAGCTGCCATATCTTGGACCTTCCAGCCATCAGAATCATGAACCAAATAAACCTCTTTTCTTTGTCAATTACCCAGCCTCAGGTATTCTCTTATAGCAAAACCAAACACACTAAGACAAATCCTTAGCTCAGCCTTGCTCTGATTCATCTCACGTAAGCAAAACTTGAACGGAATAGAGACCTGGAATCTTTCTCCTATAGATGTGAGCTTCTCCCTCTGAGCTCCTTGAAAAAACTCCTTTATCTAAACTGTCAAGAAAGGCTCAGGAGTTGGGAAAGTTGTGGCCATCATGGGTCACAGGCATACAATTGTATGAAGCAGGGTAAGCCGGGTCAATCCCATCTGGGATCCTTGCACCACAGAGCAAATATCAACACTCGTTTTCCAACTCTGAAGAGAGTTGTCTCCACTATATTTCCTCCACCTTGGTGTCTTCTCTCCTCTGCCAATTTCCCTTTAAGTAAGTGCAGACACTACATACACCTTGTGTACTTTATTCTATAGGGGAGTGAAGACGGAGGGGTTCTGTGAATAGCAATCAGATTGCCAGCTACCATGCAGGACAAATATAGATAAACACAGAATGACAATCAGATAGGAACTGTGCTAGGCTGAATCAAGACCCTAGATAATGTCCACATCCTAATACATGGCATCCATTATTATGAGACTGCGTATATCAAGATGGACTTTGAAGTGGAAAGTAATGGGGTTTGAGATGGTGAACTTATCCTGGATTATCTGAATGAACTAGATGGAACCACAAAGGTCTTTATTAGAAGGAAAGAGATGTGAGGACAGTAAGAGAGAGATTCGAAAGTGCTATTGGTTTCAAAGAGGGAGAGGAGCCAGTATCAAGGAATGCAAAAATAAAAAGGCAGCTCTGGAGCTGAAAGAGCAAGGGGTAAGACTCTTCCCTAGATACCCCGAAAGGGGTTGGCCCTGTCTACAACTTGTTTTCACCCACTGAAACCCATTTCTGACTTTGACTTACAGAATTGTAAGATGAAACATTACTGTTATTTAAAATTACTAAGGTTACAGTAGTTTACTTCAGTAGCAATAGAAAATGCCTACAATGTACAGACAAGTAGGCAGGAGTTAGGTGTAGCGGCAGACAGGCTAGAGGGCAGGCAGGAGACTGGGTGTTGGATGGAAAGTCAGGGATGCAGGTGGGTAGGAGACAGACAGACAAGCAGGGAGGGAGCCTGGAGAAAGATGATTGAGAAATGGAAGACAGACATAGATCAGTAAACAGGTGAGAAGAAGGGCACATGGGCAGATCGAAAGCAGGAAGTGCGCAGACAGGCAGAAGACAGAAGCAGGGGTCAGGGAGACAGGATGACAGATGAAGGACCTCAGAGCTGGTCCTTGTTCCCACAGGGGTTAGGGAGCCTTCTGAGATGCAGGTGGATCCCATTGCTGGACTCCAGCACAATTCGTGACATGGGGATGGGGATCCTGGTGAGATCAGGCAGCAGCTCACAGCGGAGCAGGGTCAGGGCCATGGCCACCTTCAGCTGGTTCATGGCAAATTGTTTCCCAATGCAGTTCCTGGGCCAGGCAGAGACTGTAAATTGAAAAATGGCCTCAGGCCTCATTGTGAGCTAGGCAGGCTTTGGTCTCTGAGCTCCACCCTTGAGCTGGGGACTTAGAGTCTTCCTCTACGTGCCCAGCCCCCAAATCCTTTCCTCAAAGGCCACATGCACCTCTGCCCAGGCCTTGATTCACTCTTTTTCCTGAGTTTAGACAGAGCCTGCCAGTCTTCCGAGGCTAGCTCCTAACTCCAGTCTCTGCTCTGAGCAGGCCTGTGACCCTCTGTCAGGAGGACCACGGCTCTAAGGCACAGAGTTTAATCACATGAATTGTTGTAGAGTTAATCAATGGTTTGTTCACTCTTCCACAGTGTGTGGTTCCCTAGTGTAGAGCCTAGATCAGGTCACTGTGAGGTTGGGGAGGCACATTCTCTGGCGCTTTCCATACAGGGGTACACAGAGACCTGGATTCTTAAAGAGAGACCCAGATGTGTGGGAAAGAGGAGTCAGAAGGGTAATGGGGAGGCTTCCTGGGAGGGCACTGGGTAGGTGGTGCTCACCTTTGAAGGTATTGCCCCACCTTTTGCCCACTCCATGGTCCAAGCTTGCCTCCCCTTACCCATCTGTCCACCAGCATGTGTAGCCTTCTAATTCTATTCCAGAAATGTCCCTCCTTACCATCCCTCAGTCTTCTCGCCTGGACTTTCTGGGTCCCTGCTTGCCCTCCTTCCACACTGAAGCCACAGACCGGCTCAGACTCTCCCACACTCTTCACAGTGGGAACAGCATCCCAGGTAGCAGCCAAGCCCTCCCTCGGGTGTTGCCTCACCCAACAATCTTATCTGTCCAGCCCATGTTCTAGCCCTGTTCATGTGGAGATGGCTGAGAATATCCTCTCTCCACCTCTGCCTGCCACATCCTCAAGGCTAAGTCCAGGGCCCACCTGCCTCACCCGCTTCCAGCTGTGCCTCTCCCACCTCAAGACCCCAGTTGGCATCTGTGCTCCATCCATAAAGAGTCAGGCCAGTGCCTAAGACAGTGCCAGGAACAGAAACACTCAAGGAGCCACTCAGTGACTAAGTGAAAGGATGGATGAGGGAGCGATGTGTGTCTGGAGCACAGAATATGTTTCTGTATAATACATTTTTGTCCTTGACTATGAACTCCTAGACGCAGGGACAGTACCTTTTTCCTGTTTTCCCATCATGCTGCACAGAGACTAACCCACAAAGATAAGCTTAATAAATATTTGTATATTCGAATGAAGTTAATTAAGTTTTAAAAATGAATAAAATACAATGGAATACACTGAGAGTTAATATTAGTTCTGGGCTAGATATGGAGCTTTGGAATGCTCTCCTGTCCTCAAGTGGCAGCAACATGATTGACAGCCAGTGTTTAGGAGGAAGTTCTCATCCTGGGATAAAGCAGTGCTGGAGAAGGACTTTCTGGAACATTTGCTTAATGACCATTGTGTGAAAGTGGACTCACCATGGGAAGAATTCACATAATTACTCATTTAGAAAAACTGTGTTTCTACTAACAATTTACATAGTTCTTGGCATTAGCTTTTCATCGGATGTTTCCTGCAGCCCCTGAGGATTTCCACATCAGTTATTTTGGAGTGTACATGCCCAACTCAACAGCTATTTCAAGTGTGGTTCGTAATCTACACACAGGCAGTCTTCAAATGTTATTTGTCATATACTCAAAAGAGGGCTTCCCTCAAAGTCAGGTGATTGTCCTCATTTTTATGTGTTTGCCAACATTTTGCTATGTGAGCTGTGGGATCATGCTATAGAGCATCCATTGCACATAAACAATTTTGCCAAATGGGAAAGGGGACATAAATATGTGAACACTGTAACACAGTGAGCATTTGTTGGACAAGACAGCGAAATATTTGAGACAACACATATGGGTATTAAACTTTCTGCAAAGGGCTGTCTTAACCTTTCACTTGTTTGGCTTGTAAGGGAGGACTAGCAAGACACCTTAATTCTAAATATATACAAAGATTTCAGTGTTTTCACATAACAGATTAGTGAGTTAAGTAGAAATGGTGATGTGCTGCACTGCCAATATATAGGGAGAGAGAAATCAACTTTAATATCTCTGAAAATTGAGAAATGTTAATATATAAAATTAATTTTACCAAAAAAGTCTAATATTGAAAATTCATACTCTTAAAATGAGGAAAACACCAGAATACATGGAAGTTCAGAACACACACTATCAGTGAATTTTGGCTGGACATTGGAAAAGGCAGAGGGAGGCAAAGTCACCGTGCTGTGCCCTGAAATGCAGTTTTTGTTTTGTTCACAGAGACATCAGCATCAGGCTTCCCTCCCACAGACACCAGCATCCAAGGGTATAGGTGAAGATGCTGCATATGAATTAGGGAGCATAAGCATCAGCTGTGTGCCCAGAGCCTCCCCTGTTTCTCCACGTCCATTACCAGTGTTAGGGTGTCTCACCTTGATTCTCCAGAGAAGGGCAGGAAAGCATGGCTATGTTGAGCAGAACTCGGAGCAAAGCGGGAAGGGTCACACACCTGCAAAGAGAGCACCAGAGCCGGGACAGATAGAAGTCCAGCTCCTGCTATCTACCCATAAGGAGATAGGAGCCCCAGAAGTATGAGTAGGAGAAGGTGTTGAGAGATTATCTTCCTCCAAGGCCTTCTGACCTCTGGGTTTGGCCACACCTTCGGGTTGTGGTGAAGGCCATAAATGGAAAGGCTGACTTTCAATCCTATGGGGACGGTGTAGAAGAGAGAGAGAGAAGACGAATCATACCCATGAGGTGGCCTGGTCCCTCTGGCAGCAGGGAACGGGATATGGGGTCTGGGCTCAAAGAATGAGTAGAAAACCATGAATCCAGGGATGAGAAGCAAGAAAGCATTGGTATTTTACTGTCTGTAGTAAGTGCGGTGGGAAGCTACCTTCATCAAATGCCTCCAAGAATCACCGGGAAATATACATGACTCACTCAATACCCACAGCAACCATCCAAAGAAGACTTTCCTTTATTCCCAAATTTCAGAGGAGCTACCTCGGTCTCAGAGGCTGATTGTCTTCTCTATGGTCATACAGCTAGAATATGACAGGACTGAGACCAGACCCCTTGGGGGTTGAGGCTTGGTGGCCTTTCTCTGCTATAGGATATGGACACCAGTGGCTCTCTGCCATCAACCTGAGGGCTCCTCAAAAACTGGACAACAGCTGACCCATGACATGTGATTCGTGATGTCCCCCATTTGCCTTAACCCCATCAATAAAGAACCACATCTCCCTGCACCCGCGTCTGATTCTCTCTAGAATTTCTGATTCTCATGAAATAGAATTTTGGAGCTTTCATTCCCAAGGCTACATTCAGAGGCTGACATTTATTTATCAGACTTTTCGTGGTTCAAGCTCTTTGCCAAGCATTTCAAAGTTTTCATCTTAACTATAAAGTATGTTTTCATTTTTTGACAACGAATGAGAGACCCAGAGAGGTTTGCAAATGCTGAAGCACAGGTGCATTTCTGACCCTCCACATCTTTGTGTGGAGAGCTTAGGTGAGTGGATGGGGGAAGTTCATACCTTTGGGCAATGAGCGCCCATCAGGGAAGGTGACAGGAGTGATGAGCTCTCTGCTAATGCTTGGCACCGGTGGGTAGAGTCTCAGTGCCTCCTTGATGCATATGGTAGTGTAGGGCATCTGGTCCAGGTGGTTCCTCAAACAAAGTCCATCCTGAACATCAACAGGGTCTGGACAGACCATGTGAATCCCCCTAAGGAAAGAGCAGGGCTCCTGCATCTCCTGAGCTCACACTCACCAGGTGACGGAGGCTTCATTTCCCAGGAGGCTCTGGATCTCCTCCGGGCACATCTGCTGAACCTTGGGGTGTGTGGCCAGAGCACAGAAGATCCAGGAGATGCTGCTGGCTGTGGTGTCATGTCCTCCAAACATAAATGTGTCCACCTCAGCACGGAGGTCCTTGTCTGACAAGCTGCTGCCATTCTCCATCTGGAGAGGCCAAGGTAAGAGTTCAGGATTGGTCTCTCGTTCTGTGCTTTTGGGAAAAGCCTCTGGCCTCTCCTACACACACTCACTTTGGCCAAAAGGAGGATGTCTGGGAAATCCAAATGCCTCTTTCTCCTGACCTTCTCCAGCTCCCGCTCCTCCTGCAGGCGAGCCTTCCTCAGTTGGATCACTTGATCTCTTCCAGAACAGTGGTTACTCTACAGGCTGAGCATGCCAGCAGCCCCCAGGAGTCCCAGCTGTTCACCTGCCCCCATGTGGGTGCCTGGTAGATCTCAGCATGAGTGTGGGTGAGGGCGCATGGACAGAAGCAAGAGCTCTACTACCGTGTGAGGCAGGGCAGGCCTCTCCGCAGTGGCATAACTCACAGAGCCTCTGTTTGAATGCTGCTTGGATGGGGTCTCATGTAACCATCCCCATGTGGGGACACAGATAAATGCCTCCACCGTGCCTGCCCCTAACATCTCAGCTCCCAGCCCCTGCTCCACAGAAATCTTCATCATAGGTGTGTCTCAGTTTCTGCAGGGGCAACAGGGGGCCTGGCTCTGTGATGGGACAGGGCGGCCTCCTTTAGCTGTGCTTAGTGAAGGGAGGAGACAAGCAGAGGAGACAGAACCTGTGTGCTGATGGACAAGCTGGCAGGTATGGTGGTTTGAGCAGCCGGTAGGGGTCAGGTTGTAGATTGTGTCATTCTGATGAAAGACATTGCCCATGCAGGAAATAAACTGGTTTTTGAGGTCCCCAATGGCCTGGATGTAGGATTGGATATCCCTGAGGGAAAGGATGCAGAAGAGACCAAAGTAAAAGAAGTAAAAGAGGCCTTTGATTAGAAGGCAGTATGGAATCTGGATAGAGATAGCTTCAAACATTGGGGACAGATATCACTGAGGCACTTGTTTCTTCTGTCTTAGAGCTTTGTGATCCTGAGGTTTTTATAATATATTGTGAACAGCCAGAGTCTACCTGTGCTAGGGATGAGGAATTTGTAGCTGAAGCATGTTTCGGTCTGGTCTGGAATTGGAGCGTTCACAGTCTCAGTCTTTCTTCCTGTGGAAGTGAGCCCCCAAGCTGCCCCATTTGCCTCTCAGTTACATCCATGCAGTTGATAAGAACATGACCTGGGGGGTTATCACTGACCAGTCCAACTGGACGCTGCCCTGGTAACTGAAGGCACACTTCATGATGATGTCCAGAGTCATCAAGGAGACATGCTGAGAGACATCCAGAGGGGAGTCCTGGCCAATGAGCTCCTCCCATTTGTCCTGTGTTGGGAGGGGATATGGACCTTCTTAATCCCCCAGAATTATTTTGGGAATATAGCTCGGCTTTTCCCTTTCCTCCAGATACTGTGGTTGGGATCCCTCACTTTAAGGACAGCTATAGTGTTGAAATTGGTATTGTGAATCAATAGGTGTAAACCAATACCTATTTTTCAAAGTTTTAATACAGCATTAACCATGTCTGCTCACAAGAGTCTGAATTAAGTTTTGCATTCTTAGATTCAGCTATACTTGACTAGAAACATTTTTTGTTATTTCTTTTTTTTTTTAAAGAACTTAACAGATACTTTATTGCTCACCTTTCACACAAAGCACACCTGCAGACATTTTCTTTCACAGCTTGACAATGTTTACATATACAAAAACCCAGCAAGAAACATCATATTATGTAGATTTCGGTAAGGGAGAATGTAAAACATCGATTCAGCCAGGCTTTTGTTTTCTGCAGCAATAATAAAGGTCTTCCCGCACTTGGCAAAAATCTGTCTTAACTTTGTAGTGCATTTCTTCCATTACAAAAAGTCTCCTGCCTAAAGCAAACTAACTTGTATTTGCTGAGCCAGTGGTATTCACTCATGCATAAAACAAATTTCGGTTAAGAGTACTCTTCAGTGTTCTGAAAACTGAGATTGTCTTGAGGGACTGATTGCACTCCAACTTTAGGGGGAAAGTGTCAAAGCAAAAGGAAGTCTACAAGGCCCATATTAAGTGCCTAATGAAAGCACATCAGGGACTTCAATTAATTTTCATTCGTCAAACATTTGCTGGGCACAGTTGAGTGAGAAATCAGAGTTCTGATAGGAGGGAAGGGTATGGCAGGTCTGGCTTTGAGAATGAAGATCAGGTGTCCATTTCACTGCATGCATGGCTCAAATCCATGGAGAAAGCTCTGGGTCCCAGGCAAGAGCCTCACTGAGTGACAGACCGGACTGTCTATCCTGACCCTGGAGCTGCCATTGTCAAGGCCATTCAGGGGTAGTGTGTCCTGCTGTCCAGCAGGATTGACCATCTCTCCAGTCCCCTATGCTGAAGATTTCAAAGTGGAAGGCACAATTTATCTGCTATGATTCTCATTTCCTGTGACAATAAGCAACATGTGGATTCAACCAAATGCCTGGGTGCTCTGCTCTCACATCACTTTTGGGGAAGCCTATTCTCACAGTAATGGTCTGAGTGTGTTACTTTGTGTGGCTGTGTCTATGGCTGTCTGTGGGACACAGAGCTGAGAGTTAAATTGGTGAGAGTGTGCTGTGAGTAGATGTCTGGAGGGGAGAAAGACGGACTCACCAGCATCGCTTGTACGGAGTCCACCATGAGCCCCACATAGGGCTTCAGGATGTTAAAATGGAAGGCTGGGATCAGCATCCGCCGGTGCTGGCGCCACTTCTGCCTATTCAGCAGGGGCAAACCATACCCTGGGCAAAGAGATGGGTGTGTGTATGTGTCGGGGGGTGGGTGGGAGGTGGGATGAAAGGGATCTCTGGGGAAAGAGAGAAGGCAGTTCCTGAGGACAGAAAACCTAGAAGGTACTTCAGGGTCTATGGCAGGGAAAGCAGGTGCATTTCAGGTGTGGAAATGTCCTAATTGGGCAGATACATCCCTGGGATTATGACAGCTGTAAGATGAAGGTTGAAAAGTGTTGTGGGCAGATGTTAAATAAATATCAGGCTGAGGATGTCTGGAGAGAACAGAGAAGTGAAGTGGAAGAAGCTGAGCCTCAGGAGGGCTCACACCAGCATTAGCAAAGGTGAGGGTCTTGTTTCATGTAAAAAGGAACATGAAACTGGATTAGGGATGGGGGTCATGACAGTGGTGGTCCCTCACCTATTGTTCTCTATGAGCCAAAGGGATTGCTTTTCGCAAATCTACCTGGGCAGTAGATGGCAGTCCTAGTTTACGTGTATATACCAATTCAGGGAGCCAGGAGTCTGGAGATTTCTGTAACTTTAGGGTCTGAAAGACAAGAAAAGTCTTTACAGGAAACTGGAAACTACTAAATTTGGCATCCCCAGAGGGGCTCTATCAGACCACGGGCTTCCATCAGTTGATATCTGTCTGTTGGCAGTTTGACCTGTGTCATTTCCCACTTGTCTCCTCTCCCTTTCCATGTCTGCCATGAAGGTCAATGAGGGCTCAGGAAGTCAGATTCAATGTTCTCACAGCAGAAGACCCACAGGCCTAGGAAGGAGTTGATGAGAAACATAGACAATGTCCTCCAGGCCAGAGAGTAAGACAGAGCCATTGGAGGTGGCTTAGTCTGTCAATGATGCAGGACTGGAAGCAATTATAGTTACCAAATCCATGTCATAATTCATTGATAAGTGAAAATGAGAATAAGAAACCCAAATCACAAAATAAGCAAAATTAGAGATCAACATCTGTGCCATATGCCTATACCCAAATGTCTATAAGACATGTGGCAATGTTCATTTCAGATTAACTCTATTAGCTTAAAACAGCAAGAAAAAACAGAAAAAAGAAAAAGAAAAAGAAAAAGAAACTGGCAAATTTAGTCCCACACAGTTGTTTTAAACATTAATTACTCAGTAAATACTTTTGGCTGTAGCCTGGACTGTGGACTTTGTGGATGGTTGGGACAGGGTTTAAATATTAATGTTTGAACTGTCACTTTCTACTGGGATTTTACAGACTCAGGGGCCTGTATCAGCAGAGAAGAGCTGATTGAGTCAAGATAAAATTTCAGTCTCATCTGATCTCCCCAGAATCACCTTCATGTAGTCAGGGTCATAGAGCTGGACAAGAACTTTGTCTCCCCATAGCCAATGAGGACAGGCACTTGGGAATGTCTCCACCCATTTCTGAATCTGTTGTAGCTCCTGGTTCTGTTGGAACTGTCAATGAGGGTAGACAGATGAACGCTTTCATTTAGTTCTTCTAGCCTGTGCAGTGGGAGAGAAGCGCAGGGCAGGACAACCACAGAGACCTTGTAGTTCCGGATCTACCAGTACAAGTCAGAATGTGGACTGTTTCTGATGATCTAGGCTCTGATCCAGATTCTTGTCCTCTGCCCAACACTTGACATCAGGTCAGATTCTGTCTGTCTGCTGTGTAGAGCTATGGGGTCAATGCTGCCTACAGAAACTTAAGTCAGCCATTGTCTTCACATTGTGTAAAATCTCTGGAAGTCATAAACACAACAATTTCCATGGGCAACGTGCATAACTTGTATCATTCGGTAAGCAGATTTGTAAAATAATTTAGTATCTTTAGAGAATAAAATGAATTAATGTAAACATTCAAATTACACAATAATTTAATATAATCATACTTGTTATATTTTCAAAATTTCCCAGCATACATGTAAGTATTTGTTAAGATAAAAATAGCATTTGAAATGTGTATGACTAAGTGAAAAATGATTAACTATAAAATTGTGTGCATAATAGTATTCTACATGCTGAATACATACAGATTTATGGGGCAGAATCTGGGCATATGCATATGGCACTGGTGTTGATCTATGATTTTAAGATTTGAGTTTCTTATTCTCATTTTCACTTATCAATGAATTAGGAGCTCCCTGCTGCCTAGAATCAGCTTTCTAAACTCTTTGATGTGTATCACAAAGCCCTTGGCCTTCTGGCTTCGACTTTTGCCTTCAGCCTTGCTGGCAATTCCACCATCACCCATTGTTTCAGCTCCAACGCTCCTGCCACCGCTGCTGCTTATTCGAGCACCAGCTACATGTGCTCACTCTTCTGGGCCCTGGCACGTGCTCTTTTCTCTACCTGGAATGCCCTTCCACTCTGCCACAGTGCAGCCACCTCTCCTCAGCTTTCAGGACTCAGCTTTCCTTTAATCGCATCTGGAACCATCACAGACATTGGATCCTAGTGATGGTCCATGTAGCCAACTCTTCATTTCATCTGCTTCTAGTAACTCAAAGGCAACTGTCTATCACATAAGTATCTAATCTCTGCCCACCTCCTTCTGACAACCATATTTCCCAGCTCTGAGGCAGCTTTCCCTGCAGTGAGGCAGGCTCCTTCATTCAGCACTTACTGCACACACACCATGTGACAAGTGTGGTTCAGGAGCTGCATTAGGACACAGCTATGATCCTTACCTGTGTGGAATTTCCAGTCTAGTTGGGGAGTAAGGAAGATTAGAGGTTGTGCAGTAGGGGATCATTAATATTGAGTTGAAAGGAAGAACAAGCATCTGTGGACCGATTAACAAGTATCTTAGAGCCCCGGCCCAGCCTGCCCTCCCACTCTCCTGTCAACTCCTTCCTAGCTCCTGGCTGTGCCCAAAGAGCCAGTGGGAAGGATGAGACGGGAACTGCTGGATGGCTTTCAGCAGCCACTGCCGATGCAGGTAGAACTGGGCTGCCTTGAGCAGCAGTAGAAGCAGGCACAGCAAGATCACTTGAAGGAGCCCAGAGATGCTGTCTGGGAATCCGGTGAGGATAGGAACAGGTACACCCATGATGCAGCACCTGCTGGATCTCTGAGTGTACCTGTCTGTCCCTGACTGCTCCTCCCCACCTGTGCTCAAATCCTGGGAGGGTTGTCCCACCCACCTTTGGGGAGGGTTAAACGGAGAGGGCAGAGCTTGGACCTCAGAGTTCAGAGTTGACTGGTTGTGGAGGATCATCCACCTGGGGAAATAGTGAGAGGAAAGCTTCAACTGTCAGTGGTAATGGCCACCGGTAATGGTTGCTTTGTCAACCTCAAGTGAACTAGTCTTACGAATAGTTACTATTGACATGAATTAACCCTGCCTGGCATTTTTAGAAATCTCTACCTAAGCATTCTCTAAAGCTTTATTATTCTTATGCTCTGAATACATTATTCATGTTCTAAATGATAAACAGTATCTTTTAAAAATAGGACTACTTAAAACTCTCTTTTACTACAGCCTCACTAAATATATTTTTTTTTTCAAATTTTATTTTAGATACAAGAGGAACATACGCAGGTTTGCTACATGGGTATATGGTACCCAGGTAGTGAGCATAGTACTCAATAAGCAGTTTTTCAACCCTTGTCCCCCTCCCTGCTTCCCTTGTCTAACAGTCTATAGTAGCTATTGTTCCCATGTTTAAGCCCCTGTATGTTCAATGTTCAGATCCTGCTTACAAGGGATAATATGTGGTATCTGATTTTCTGTTCTTGCATTTATTTTCTTAAGATTATGGTCTCTAGCTCCATCCATAGGGCTGCAAAATACGTAATTTTATTCTATGTCTTTATAGTATTCCATGGTATGCATGCACCACATTGTCTTTATCTAATTCACAATTGATAGGCTTCACAGTTGATTCTATGTCTTTGCTATTGTGAAGAATGTGGTGATGAACATGGGAGTGCATATCGTTTTAGCATAATGATCTATTTTCTTTTCACTGTTATACTTCCTGCTTGTTTCTTGCTTGCTTGCTTGCTTAGGATTGCTTTTGCTACTCAGGCTCTTTTTAGTTTCCATATACATTTTAGAATTTTTTTTTCTAATTCTGAAAGAATGGCATTGTTAGTTTGATAGGAACAGCATTGGATTTGTAAATTGCCTTGGGCAGTATGGCCACTTTAATGATATTGATTCTTCCAATCCATCAGCATGGAATGTTTTTCCATGTATTTGTGTTGTCTTTGATTTCTTTCAGCAGTGTTTTGTAGTTCTCTTTGTAGAGATCTTTCATTTCCTTGGCTAGCTATATTCCTAGGCATTTCATTTTCTTTGTGGCTACTTTGAATGGGAGTGTGTTCTTGATTTGACTCTCAACCTGAACATTATTGGTGTGTAGAATAATCTGAAAATGGCTAGATTGTGGTTGTTTTAGGTAATGTGGTATGGAGGTGGGAGAGCTTTTAGTTAAGTAAGAAGCTATATAAACTAACAAGAGTGCTAAAATAAAAGTCTCTTTCTGAAGTATTCCATGTCTTTTGGACCCTTTCCAGGAACTGTCAACTATTGATGAAAAAAGTCAAGGCATCGTAAGTTGCAACTGTGGTCATTATTCCACGATGCTTAGACTACTTGAATTCATAAATTTGGGAAGAATCTTGAGCAAATTTTCTCAACTGTCTGTATTACTTCAGTATATTCATGGGAATTCCATAGGATTTTTGTGTTTGATATATGGTATCCAGTTTGCCTAGTATCTTCTTCTTTGTAATCCAGTTGCTGTTAAGAATGACGTACTTTAAAGAAAAAGAGAAAACTGCATTGCAGTCCCATTCTCCAGTGTCCACGCAATGAATTACTGAGCATTTGGGAAGCAGCATCAAGTGTATTACAGGCATGATGGGAAACTGTTGATCTTTGACCTGTGATCAAAATTGAACGATTGTGCAGTTTGGCTTCTATTTGCTTCCAAATATGTAGAATTTTTGTTGACAATTCATTTGCAAGGCTAACTTTGAGAGTGTAACAGTTTTGAAGAAAACATTGAAAGTTTTTCAAATGAAGGGGCTTACAGAATGTTACAATGTTATTAATATAATTTGGCTTTTGCTATGCAAATTGTTAAGACCAGCTATTAAAATATATTTTAGTAGGAAAAAAAAAGAAATTCTGCTGATTTTTGTACATTGATTTTTTTTTAAATTATACTTTAAGTTCTGGGGTACATGTGCAGATCTTGCAGGATTGTTACATAGGTATACACATGCCATGGTGGTTTGCTGCCTACATTAGGTTTTTCTCCTAATGTTATCCCTCCCCAATTTCCCCATCCGCTGCTATTCCTCCCCTAGCCTCCCAAACCCCAACAGACCCAAGTGTGTGATGTTCCACTCCCTGTGTCCATGTGTTCTCATTGTTCAACACCTGCCTGTGAGTAAGAATATGCAGTGTTTGGTTTTTGGTTCTTGTGTCAGTTTGCTGAGAATGATGGTTTCCAGATTCATCCCTGTCCCTGCAAAGGACATGAACTCATCCTTTTTATGGCTGCATAGTATTCCATGATGTATATGTGCCACATTTTCTTTATTCAGTCTATCCTTGATGGGTACTTGGATTGGTTCCATTTTGTATCCGGAAATGTTGCTAAAATTGTTTTTCAGTTCCAGGAGCTTCAGGACAGAGTCTTTAGGGTTTTGTAAGTATAGAATCATATTGTCAGCAAAGAGAAATAGTATGAACTCTTCTTTTTCTATTTGGATGCTTTTACTTCTTTCTTTTGCCTGATTTCTCTGGCTAGGACTTCCAGTTCTATGTTGAGTAAGAGTTGTGAGAGGGAGTTTCCTTGTGTTATTCCAATTCACTGGCAATGGTTCCACCTTTTTTTTTTTTTTTTTTTTTTTTTTTTTGAAACAGAGTCTTGCTTTGTCACCCAGGCTGGAGTGCAGTGGCATGATCTTGGCTCACTGCAACCTCCACCTCCTGGGTTCAAGTGAGTCTCCTGCCTCAGCATCCTGAATAGCTGGGATTACAGGCGCATGCCACTGCACCTGGCTAATTTTTGTATTTTTAGTAAAGACAGGGTTTCAGCATGTTGGTTAGGCTGGTCTTGAACTCCTGACTTCATGATCCACCCACCTCAGCCTCCCAAAGTGCGTGAGTCACCGCACCCAGCTGGTTCCACCTTTTGCCCATTTAGTGTGATGTTTGCTTGGTTCATCATAGATGGCTGTTATTATTTTGAGGCATGTTCTTTAGATGCGTAGTTTGTTGAGGGTTTTTGTCATGAAGGGATGTCGGATTTTATCAGAAGCCTTTCTGTGTCTATTAAGATGACCATCATATGATCGCTTTCAATTCTGTTTATGTGGTGGATCACTTTTATTGATTTATATATTTGAGCCACCTTGCAACCCAGAAGTACAGTCTACTTGATCATGGTAAATGAATTCTTGATGTATTGCTGGATTCGGTTTGCTAATATTTTGTTGAGGATTTTTACATTTACATTCACCAGTGATATTGGTCTGAAGTTTTCTTTCTTTCTTTGTCCTCCCTAAATATTGAAAGCCTTGCAGTAACAAGTTTACCACTCCTGACTGGCTTCTATTTTAAAGAAAAGACACCAGAAACAAGGCCAAGTTTTCAAAATCACTTTATATTAAATGGATGAAATAATCTTAACCCAAATAATAAATACTAACTTTACCCCAAATGGAGCTGGTTAAAGTGATGGTTTGTTATTTGTGTAAGACTTAGACATTTGTGATAAGAGGTACAACTCTTGTTCTTACCAATATATTGATTGTTATTCAACTATTCTTAGTTATTTCTATTTAATTAGCCATACCATTCTTAATATTGATTGTACACAAAATTTTAAGACATATACAAATTTGAGAAAGACCTACTGCTAGTTCCCCCTATGGACTGCTACAACTAAATACAAATGCTGTCAATCGTTTCTTCAGGAATCGTAATCATTAGCTTCCTCTATATTATTATTTATCATTGCATCAGTCTAGTCTCTTACCTTATAACAATATTGATTCTCTTGCCTATGCCATCTCCATTAATCAATAAAAGATTGGGGACATTGTTTACTTTATCAGTATCAAGCTGAGCTGCATACTCCATGCTAAGATCCAGATGAGCTTCAAATTTAAGTTATTCCATCTTAAATTAAGGCATGAGGATCAGCCATACAATTTCATTTGAAGTAAGTTTACCAATCGCTTTCGTATCAGTTATATTAATAAGTGGGTCATTTACACTATCAACTCTTACAGTTATCTAGGGATAGTTATGATTAATTTTTTTCTCACGGTCACTTACCATAATATGATTTATTTCAACTTTAAAAGAAATTGCATGAGTACTCTCGTAGACTTAACTGAAGGAGAAACGTAATGTGTATTGGGCTTTAATATGAAATATACAGCAGGGTTATTTGCATATTCTTCTTACCTGAGTATGCTAACATCATTATAATAAATAGTCCCACAACAATATCATTTTAGAAGGATTTTATAATGTGTATATTCCAGAAACTTAAACAATTAACTTTTTTATTATGACTTTCCTGCTTACAATTTTATTCCTTTGAGTATGAGTATCATACCTACTGCTTTACTATGGCCAACTCATACATTTCCTATGAAAGACTTCACAACCACTAACCTTAGCTCTATATATGTAACATGTCTCAATCTCCATTATATTATCACCTATCCCACCACAAACATAAAAAAAAAAAAGTTTCTCTAGTATTAAGCTAATGATATTTAGGTGAGATTTTTCACTTAAATTGATACCGTAATGGGTTGAGGCCTTTTGAATGTTGGTATGGGGCAAATATATTTTCCATGGGGAAGACTATACTATAGTGGGAAAGATAATGGCCCTAAAAGATACCGAGTTCTAATTACTACAACCTGTAAATGCTATATTATTTGAGAAAGGTAGTTGCAAATGTGATTAAGTTAAGGCTCAAGATAAGGACATTATGCTGGATTATCAAGGTGGGTCCTAAATGC